TTTTCAGTAGTAGGAACATTCTGCTCTCTAACATACATTTATTTCTCGCCAGTCCTTATGTCAAAATAAAAGTGCTTGAAGTAGGGAACACAGTAGTTTTAAAAATGTTCTAGAAATAAGCAAAAAAGATCAAATTCAAGTTACTACTACCTAAAGCCCTAAGCATTTTTTCAGTGACAATTTCCACACTCTTTAAAAAAAAAAAACACATCAGTTATAAATTTCTATTATCTATTTAGAAAAGAAAGACAAGTCTTAAAAATTATGAAAGGCTGAACTCACAGTTGTCATTAAATTTTTTTCTGAACACTTATCTTTGTTCATAACAAAATACTTTATCTCATAAGAGCAATAAACAGGACCATGCAAATCTACAATTGGATAGAACAAATGCAGACAGTTTGAAATAGTTTAGGCAGTCATATTTTCCCAAGAACACAATGCTTGACTATGTACTAATAGAGTTTTAACAACTGATTTCTGGGGCTTTCTTGAGAAAAGGTTTAAAAGCCTGTCATTTAACTGGTTTGACTTACCAGTCTTTATCTCAGCTGAAATGACCTGAAAACTTAAAAACCACCAACAAACCTTGTTACATATGGCTTCATCTGTCTTTCTCTTTTTCTTCTCACCAGGTACTCTCTCCAAAAGCCTGTAAGGTTTATTTCAATCAGCTTCTGTTGGTTTGAGATTTTTTTAATGTCTGAAATTTTTCCTTTGCTTATCACACAGACTGCCAACACAACACAGTGAGGTGTTTGTTTCACAAAACAGTATTTTTGAAAAAAAGGTGGTTTTCTGACAGGTATGAAAGGAAAACAAAGACAGTCTTTCACAAGCCTCAGATACAGCAATAGCAGGGTGGCCGGAAATTACTCCATAGTGAGAGGATTAGGAAGGTCTCAATATCTCTAGAGCCCGACTCAGGCTCAAAGCTCCTCTCCCCCAGACACACACACAGAGCTTAATCACACCGGCTGGCATCTTACCCTCAGCCGAGCATGAGTTGTTAGAACTGAGTTCAGATATTTCAAACATTCAGTGAGTCTCCCTTTGGGGAAGAAGTCACATACCCAAAACAGCATCTCATGTTTTCCATTAAACCACAGCTTTTCATCTTTCCTCACAGCTCTGGAACTTGGAACAGCTCTCTCAGGAGACAGCTGCTCTTTTTCTGCCTCTCACCACTGCTGTCCCAGTAGCTCCTACATACAGCTTTGCAGCAAGGGCAGCCAGTGCCCCAGGAGACTCGATGTCCTGGCAGACTGCCAGTGTTCACCCAGCACTGTTTCTGCAAAGTCCATTTTCATTTCTCTTAGACAACCTATCTCAGAGCAGAAATTTCCACTCAGGAGAGGAATAAATATATGGGATACACCAGTTCTCTTTACCAAATGGAAGTGGTCTTAAGGTACCTGTTTGGGCAAGATAAACAAATGCAATTAATTAGCTTCTCTCACACCAGAACTAAACAATTTATCTAAAACACTTGAACAATGCAGGTCAAAGAAAAGGCAATTTTCTTCAGCAAAACCTGCTGTAGCTTTCAGAGCTTCAGAAACCATTAAAGGAAATGTCCATGAGCATTTAAAAACTGTCAGACTTCCTGAATTTATCACTTGCTACCAAGTTCCTCCTACAGCAAACAAATCTTCCAGTCTTGAAGATTATTATCAACCCTGCATCCTGAGCCAATCCTGCAGCTATCAAAGCAACTACAAGCATTTTTCTCTTACTAAACACACACACACATATCTTCACACACAAATCCTCTCAGTAAAAAGTGTGCTAAAAGTACTTGCTCTAAACAAAAAAAAGTATTGCATGGGAAAGAATAAGCCCATCTTCAAAAGCAGATTTGCTGGTAGCCATCAGGTCCAAAATCTTTTTGAAACATGAAACACTATTCGGGGCTTTTTTCCTGAAAAGACTACAGATAGAAATGTGTTTGGTAGAACAGTTCTACTTTTCAATTATTTTCCTTTCACATTCAGACTAGAAATGTGAAAATTGCTTCCCTCATCCCTTCAGACATCATGCCTGAGCCAGTTGTGATTTAGATATCTTAGACAAGATATAAGAATACCTATTTGCTCAGTGTGGAAGCTGTACTTACCAATGACACTGACAGAAAAGGGAGCACCTTTAGCTAGTGTTAGCTAGCACCTGAGCCTAGTGTTTAATATGAAAGAGCAAATGGCCTTAAGCTTTGTATCTTCTGTTCCATTTGACTTCTTGAAATCCTACACTCTTTCTTTGCTATTCCAGGCTTGGCTTGGACTAGAAATTCCATTTTGGACCAGAGAAAACACTTCCCATCATGTCTGGTATGTACATTCCTAAAAAGGAGGACTGGTTTCAACTAATTAACATTCTCTAATAGAATAACTGCTTTGCCAGAGGATTTATAATCAGCTCTAATTTGACTTCTAAGTAATTATTAGAGCAACATGACAGCAATTACCTTAGCTATGAATACAGTATTTCCCAAAAAGAGCGCAATAAATTAAAGACTGATATAGCAAAAAACTGACAAGACCTGGCAGGGCTTGAAAGTTGCTGCTTCATGTTGCATTTCCCAGAAGACACTGACTTGGAAGAAGGGCTGCTCGGATACCACTCCCCTCTCTGTTTCTTATACAGCTCTCAAGTGGGACAAAAGAAAGAATTATTTTCAGACAACAGAAAAAACAACTATGATTTCAGAAACCTTTCCCTCACATGTTATTTTAGGCTAAGACACCTTAGGAGTCAATTTTTTCACAGGAAAGCTAAGAGCATCTCTAAAACAGTCAAGTTCATAAGCTGACAGGGGATATGCAGTTTGGTTGTTAGGCTGAAGACATGTCTTTCCTTTAGACATGCAAGCAGTTACTCTCAAATCCAAGTCAATGCCCTGTTTGAGTCAAGCATAAAATATGTGGCAAGACTAAACATTACACTTACTCAGCAAGTCTTTGGGCAAATGCCACACAAGAGGCTTCACAGCCTGTGTTTACTCTTTCCACTGCTGAAAAAGCCCAGGCTCAATCTCTGTCAGAGCCTGAATTAAGAATCATAATTATCACAAAACCAAACAGTTAGGCATTTTCTTAACCCTAAATTTGCAGAATAATGAAACATCAAAATATTTCTTACCCATACAAAATCTGAATGAACCCTAAAAGCAATTTGAAAGACAGATACTGGAAAATTATTTACTGCAATGCCCTGTCACCACTTTCTCCCCATTATCTGCTATATCAAGTCAGAACTGAGAAATCTTCAGATTAAAGCAACCAATGCAAGAAAAAAAAAAATCAAGTCTTAAATTCTGCCTATCTAAAAAATACATAAGTACTTCTCTGAAGTAATTCCTTCTTTTTTTTTTTTTGTACTTATGCCTCCTGTAGGGATTCTGATTTAAGGTTATAAACAAGGATTCCTAATTGCAGATTTCTAATTGCTGCCTCATATTTTAAAAATTGATTTCTTAGTTCCTTTGTAGAATCAACAGACTACACACTGTAGAAATATGGGTTCAAGTAACACATTCTGACAATATGGGGGTTTTTCCTGCAAAACTCAGTGTTTATTCTTTTATGAAACAAGCTTCTATCAAAGTTACAAAGTCCCAGAGAAATGTGAATGGACTGGGTGATCTAAAATACACATGCATATGAGTCCATTTTTCTAGACCTATAATCCAGCTTTCAGAAAGAATTTTGAGAGGCTCAAGTGATATATCAGTTCTATCAGAACTGAGCTATAATACATCTTCACTGAACAAGGCAAACCAAGGTCAGCAGCTCAGAAGTTGTAAGAAATTTTCAGAGGGTAAGTTAGGTTTAAAATTCAAGGCTACTTAACCTGTGAGAGAACAGTTGCAAATGAAAATTTAGATATTTACACAGTTTTAAAAACATCATGTCTAGTCCCATCACATATTAAATTGAAGAGCTATGGGCTCTTGTTACACTGATGGTCCAAAGATCATTTGTTACTAACATTTTACTTATACAAGGGTATAGACAAGAGGAGGGAGATGAGGAATTCCCTAATCAAATACTGTTAAATGCTTTACAATTTTACTGAAGGATTTCTCTTTTATTTTGCCTTGTAATAAGCAGGATTATTTTGGTCTCTAGCTGGTGGTGACTTTGCATTTTGCACCAAGCTTTAGCTGATTAACAACCACAAAAAACATATATGATAAGTGGATTTATATGCCAAAGGTGACAAAACTAATAGACTGGGGCCTGTTCCAAAATACAAATTTGCAAGAGAGGCAAAAGAATAACTGAATAAGTTTATTTGAATCATTGTCTAGCACAGCAGGGTTCATGATCAATCTAATTTCATACTTTTTAAAGCTTTCTTCCTACCAAATGTAACAAGCTTCAGGAAGCGTCTTCATTCATTCTGAACACAGAAAAACTGGAAGCTAAACCACACTATTAATTCACAGAATTATGCCAGAATATAATCCTAAACTAAATGGACAGACTTCAAAATACATTTTTTAGTTTAGTTCCAAACAACAGACAGAAAAGATATTTTCCCATGGCTCTAGCACTCACTCCTTTGATATGCTGATAGCATGCCTCTTCTGTGCAAGTGTTATCTATACACACAAACTGAGGTCTGCATTGAGCAAGCAACTTTGTCAGTATGGACTTTCCAACCATTCAAAATTCCTTGAAATATGGAAGATACTAGCAACCCTGGAAATTGGCCAGGTCAAGCACTGAACACATTTTCAATACCAAAGAAAGCCCTTAAGCTGTTTCCTGAAACAGGATGCATTTGTATACATAGTGATTGTATATTTATTTTACAACAAAATGTTTACAAAAAAAAAAAAAAAAAAAAAAAAAAAAAAAAAAAAAAAAAAAAAAAAAAAAAAAAAAAAAAAGTAAAAAAAAAATTAAAATAAATATATATATATATCCACCCTTCCAAACTTCTCAAGACATAACAACATGATAACAATAGCTAAAAAAAATGAAAATTACACACAATTTAGCCAATGTAGAATTTTAATTCTAAGGATAAATAATTCAAAGAATCACTATTGTCACATTTTCTTAGCAGATGAAACAAAAATGCAACAAAATGGCTACTTCTTTTCCTTGATGATAACTACAGGCACAAAACACAAAAACGCCACTGTAATCATGTAGTAATCAGCAAACACTCTTCCTAACTTCTGCTTTACAATTAAATAATTGGAACCAAACTGCTCTGATGAAAAAGCAATCCATCTCACAACCAAAGAACAGTGATTGTCTCTCAGAGAGTTTGTTGAGAAAAACTAAGAATTTCTGGTGCACTACAAATTAGAGTATGTCATTTGTATTCAGCTGCAACAAACTGGCATTACTTAGAAAAAGGGAATATACTACTGTACCATCCTATGTTATAAAAGCTTGGAGAAATGAATGACTTTTTTTGATACAAGTTTATTTAAGGCCCTCATTTGCTGCCTATAATTAATATTTCCCCTGCTTCCTGTTTTTAACATTAAACTAGATATAAGAAGAATCAAGGTGCTTTCTGGCTAAAAAGTGTGTAATGAACTTAGGCAAATTGAAAAAAAAAACAACTTAATTTAAGCAGTCTTAACTGCTAAACAAAGCCTATCTGAGCATTCCATGACTTGTGGCACCCAACACCATTCAAGACAAAAATGTAAAGCTCAAATAACACAATTTACGTGCAAGCTGACTGTAAACAAGTGTGTTAATGGGCTTGTTTTTCTTCAACAAAAGAAGAATTGAGGTGTTACAGCTCTAATACAAGTTCTTTTTAAGAATTTCTTAGACTGTGTGGATGATGTAGAAGAGGGGAGATGGCTTTAATCCAAAAGTACTTCTCTATCAGAAGTTTAGATTGATGTTTCAGCTACCAATAGATAGTATTAAATCCAAAGGATTGGCACCCTTAACATAGGGGACTATCCTTTAAAATGATTTTCCTAAAACTATTCTACCCAGACTAGAAGTTTTGGTCATTTTATTTTTTAATGTTCTACTCTTACAACACTTTCCATATTACAGAATTATTCTGTGGTTCCTCTTCTCACCTTCCATCACATTTAAAAAAGGAATGCCGATTTACACACACAAGCCATATCATCAAACCTGGGTTTGAAACAATACGACCACAGGTTATGTCTGAATCTGAAAGTGTTTTTTGCTTCCTCAACCTAAGATTTACTGCCCAGTGAAGCAAGAGAGCTCTTTCTGGCTCTCAGTACTTTGAGCTGATCAAATAATTGAAAAAGTAGTTTTCACTTTTACAGTCGCCACTATCTTAAGTTGAAGTTTGATTTATAATTTTGCCATCTTTATTTCTGTATCACCATATATGTTATGTTTTTAAAGAAATATGCAAATAGAATATCAGATTATGAAGTTACCTAAACTACTTGCTATCAAAAGATTCCTTGTGGAAACTAAAGTCCTGATTTTCTAAGTTTCTCCTACACCTTCTCAGAATTGGGTGCTAAATAAGGCCAATTTGGCAGAATACAGTCAATGACACCTTGTTAGTCTTCAGGACAATCTCCAAGGTAACAGCATTCTGTTAGATAACTAAATGGGTGCACTGAGAGTCACCATTTGTCCTGCATCTACTACTGTGTTAGCAAAGAAACAGTTAATATAAAGGGTCTTGTTGCTGAAAGACTGTTTGAAGTCCTTCACAGAAATATTTAAATGGCTAGACTTACGTCACCACACAAAGCCCTAATATTTGATATTGACCCAATTCCTTTGACACCTTACGAAGAAGAGGGAGCTCCTGTGAAGATCAAGCACAGTTTTGACATGTCTTCCAAGAAGTTTACATTTGTTTCACAATACTTTTTCAAGCATTTGAACAGAAATAGTCTAACATCAATTTTTCCTATTTTTTTTATCAATTTTTCAGACTAAGCAGCACTGGGGAGCCAAATTAGTTTCTTGTACTGCTGGTGGTCCAGAACTGCAAAATCAGTCAGTTCAGCACAACATAACAATAATTATTACCATACATCAGATATCAAGTAGTGTGCTGAGTAAAGCTATATATATGTATGTATATGTTTCCTATTAAAACTTTTAAATTACATGTTACGGTACATCTGCACGCAGTATTCAGGTCAGGAGGACCTTTAACGTCATTTCAACATGACATGGAAAAGAAACTGTGGCATGAAGTCACTGTTATCAATCCTCTTCAGAGCTAGATTCATCTTCCTGGTCAGAGAGCTCAGCAACAGGAAAGCGCAGGATAGCTGCCACCCCTGTCAGCTGGCCCAGCTGCTCTCCAGACACATGGAGGCTGGAGAAAATGCGTACTGTGCCCATGTTCTCCCGAACGCTGTCTACCAATTTAACGTATCGGGCACGTGTGGCCACATCCTGGTGCCGAAAAAGCTCATCGCTGATCAGCAGGGTATCAATGGCCATGGCTTCGTTGGCCTTCTCCACGTGTTTCAGGCCATAAAAAGCCCGGTCAGGCTCATGCTGAAGCATTTTATAGAAGTCATCTAAGGCTTTGACCTCACCAGCTGCCTTAGTGTCAGAAAGACGGCTAGTTACAGCTGGGTCACAGAGCGCTTCCTTCAGTGCGTATTTATGTCCTGAGGAAGAGTGGACCTAGAGTGAAAACAAAGTCAAAGGTTTGGTGTTTTTGAAGAAAAAGGACCATCTTCTTGATTAACCAATCACAAATACCCTCTATGATACGTAGTATTAATCTAGATAATTATTTGGGGAACTTATCTCCTTCTTGAAACACACATGATTTTTTTCTGAGTCTATCCTGTAGCCCAAAGCCTATATTAAATCTCTTAAACTGCCTTTCAAGCAGCACAAGAAAACTGCCTCTCTTGTTCAAAGCCTGGATTAAATACACGAGCTCAACAGCTCCCAAGGTAAGGCTACTTGAAACTGCCAAGAAACTGAAATCTAAGCCTAAACCTCTTTTCTAAAGCATTCAAGAAAACGAAGGACCCTCAACACTGCAGGTGTATAGTGTAAAAGCATCAACCCTGTGCAGTTATTATGGTTGCAAAGCTGTTAAGTACATTAAAACTTCTCTCTGTTATCACTTTGCTACACGTGGAAAAGGAGGGTTCTTGGTGCACTGGGTTTCTCAAGTACTGGGACCATTAAGCACTGGGGCTCACTTCACTATCCCTGCCCCAAGATCACCCCAGGCCTACTCCAACTTAAAAATAATGTAAGTATCCTAATAAAATGATTTTAGGCTTTGAATATGGCTATTTCAGTATAAGGCTAAACCCGCACCCACTCAACCAGAGACAACTAAGAAACAAGGAAAAAAGCACAGCCTTTAACTATGTAGTACAAAACTAACAATGAAATTCGAGTTAATTTTGGTAATACAAAATTAACTAACCTATACCACATCCAGGTACTTTTATAAAAACATCTTTGGAAAGTTGTAATTAAACATGCATGCTATACAGTGTGACAAACTAACAGTGCGAAGTATTTTCCAACTTGCACTTCACACTTAATTGAAGAGTAAATATGCCTTTACAGGGAGTTTGAAATTTCCCTACTCCACGCTAAGGTGTGCTAGGTGGGAACCATCCTTATACTACATGAAACTCCTTTATGCTTTGGGAGGCATGATAATAATTTCCTCATGATGGTCAGTCAGAAATTTTTTTAATGGTTTATTTCCCATGTACCTTTTACTATCACACACAACTCTCAAGCCTCTTTTTACCCACTCTGGAAACTGCTTAGATCCTTACCTGTAGGAACTTGGACCTGTTCTCCAGCAGAAGTTTGTTGTCAGTCTTGACTGCCTGCTGGAACATGTAGTCACAGAACTGCTCCCGCACGAAGCCTGGGCTAGCCACCAGTACACACTTCACCACCTCAAAGTTGATATGCCTCTGGATGGCTTGCACCACCTGCTCATAAAACCTCTCCAGCGCCCGGTCGTGCTGACTGCAGTTCCCTTTCCGCTTGCGGGGGATGTTCACCTCCACCTTGGCACGAGTAAGCGTCATGCTCGGGGTGACCAGGCAGACGTGAGCCAACCCCTCCTGCATGACCACGGCCGCCACATCGGCGCTCCAGGCCGGGTCGCAGGCCTGCTCGATGCGCTCCAGCACCACGCTGTCCCACTGCTTCTTCGCCAGGGTGAACTGACGGTTGGGCTCCAGCTCGATGGTGTGGTAGGCGCCCATCTTCACATACTCGTTCTCTTGGATGTTCGTGCCCTTGACCCGCAGCTGGCAGGCCTGCGAGTCGAAGTCGATGCTCTCCACGCACAGGGTGAGGGTGGTGCGGATGCGGTTGCTGCCCACGCTGCCCGTGGACGACTCGGTCTGAACCTTGCGGATGGTGGAGGCGCGCAGGCTGTCACCCACCTGCAGCAGGTTGTAGGTGTGCCACATGTCCTCAGGCTCCTCGGGGATCAGCGTCACCTGCCCCGCATTATCCTTCTCCAGGTCCTTCCTCACCAGCTTCATCCTGGCGGCTCCTCGCGTCCCTCCCCCTGTGCCGAGGCGGCAGCGGGCTGCAGGCCTCCCCCGGGAGGGAAGGCTGAGGGCCGGAGCCGGCGGGACCGTACACTCCCGGACGGACTGACGGACACACGAGCGGCCTTCCCAGAGCCCCCACACACCGCGCTCCTCCGCGCGCCCGCCGCCGGCCCCAACGCGCACGCGCAGGATCCCCGGCAGCCCCGCGGCGCACGCGCACAGACCTCGCTCCCTCCTGAGGCGCCGCCGGGGCGCGCCCCGCCCCGCCCCTCTCGGTCACCGCAGGCACGGCGCATGCGCGGGGCGCCGCGCGCGGGTAACCTGGCGGCGCGTCCCGAGGCTCCATCCTGCGGAAGGAAAAATGCCGGGGCGGTGTGAGGGCGGGGGACTGGGAAGCAGCCGTGGTGCTGCCGAGTGTTGCGAGCACTGGAAGTCGGCTACTGCCTCGCCGGGAGGGGGGCGCCCCCGCGTTCGTCATTCCCCTCCAGCGCTTCACAGCGGAGGTCCAAACTCCTGAAGTCTCTTAACATCGTGCCACACGCTTCAAAACACGAGAGGAAAAAGCCAAACCAAAATCGAACGGCCAAAGCCAAGCAGTTGTGGAAACTTACAGGCACAGATGGCAAAAGAGGCGAGAGGTACAGCGCCGTGGTTCAGCGAGCAGCAAGGAGCCAGGGGAGCGGGGTGCCGCCCGCTGCAGCCGCCGCCTGCCTGAGGCGGGGCGAGGCCGTCACCCATGGAAATGAAAACCGGGCACCGGCAGCATCAGAACCTGACCTCTTACTTGGACCCTGCTCTTAAACTGAATTCCGGTTTAAAAGGTTTTGGTTAAATTTGCAAGTTACACTTCAGCCAGTGCTGAACCTTGACCGGCTTCCTTCCAGTTCTGACATGCTAGAGAGACAGATAAGCACGTTTCAAACGAAGCTGGATGTTGACATAGAGAAATAAGATGCCTTGCTAAAAGTTCAATGGTACTGCAAAGAAAATGGACCTGTACCGTCACTACACAGCTGAATTTGCAGCCTAAACGAATATAGCAAGCCAGAAATAATGAAAAATTGTATCACTATACAAGAAGGGAGGAATATTGGAGAAGAAGAGAAGGATATATGAGACCTCACAGCAACCTTCCAGTATCTGCCAGGGAAAAGGGAAGCTGGAGAGAGATTCTTCATCTGGAACTGTAGTGACAGGACAATAAGTAATGGGTACAAACTGAAAGAGGGGAAATTTAAGTTACATAACAGGAAGAAATTTTTCTTTGAAGGTGGTTACACACTAGAATAGTGCCTAACCCCTGGTTGCCTAACCCCTGGTTACCTAACCCAGGGAGGCTGTGATTTTCCCCAACCCTGGTACTCATTGGACATAGCCTTGAGAAAGCTGGGAATTGTCTAGTGGGAACTGTCCTGCCCATGGATGATCTTTAAGGTCCATTTCAAGCCCTTAAAAATCTATAATTCTACGATTCTGAGTTCCGTAGCTTATTTTTGAAACAGTGTACCGCATTAAAAACTTCATTTAAGAATGAATGTTGCAAATCTAGAACAAGGGAAAGAATGAAGAGTAGCAAAAAATGTTTGCATGAGAAATGATTAAATAAAAATAGGTTGAGAAGGTAGGCACACTAATGTGCCATACTAAATGTGGCAGGGCAATTGCAACAGATAAGTTTGAAATAATTACACACTCAGTCTAGTAACAGAAAAGTATGAGGGCATCTTACAGATGAGAAGGTGGTCACAAGGAAGTTTCTGGTTTCTATTAGCTATTTTTTTAAATGAAAAAACAACTCACTGTGATTATGGAATTTGCTGACTTAGAAAGGCTTTGGAGTCAAGAATTTGATGAGATACAAGGCTACTGTGAGCAAAAATAATCCCATATCTCTCACTATGGTGTACGTATAAATTTCTCTGAAGTATCCAGTTCTAGTCAGTTGTGACAGGACAGTGAACTCAGATCTGGCCCAGTAATGTGCGTTCCTTTTCCCTGAGCTTGATACTGGTGTAAAAACAACTTTATCAGATATTACATAATAGGATTTATTTATCAGACCTCAGACTCTCTTCCTGTGAGTACACATGCTTAACTCTGTTAGCATGAATAGTTTCACAGAATCAAGTAGGACCACCCAAGGGAATATAACATAAGCACATGTGTAAGTAACTGTTTGTTTAACTTGTGCATAATAATAATTTTGCATTAACATTTTCATGCAAAAACAGAGGCAGAGAACTTCTGCATTCAGCTTTTCTTTAGGAGAGAGTGTGCATTATACTTTACTTCCAGAGTTCTTTTCACTTGTCTGTATAAATGCTGAATGGTGAATTTATGGCAAATTTTCTTCTTTACGTTCTTTGCAACTGTAAAATTCCAAAGGTTGACCTCATGCTATTCTTTCAAGAAAAAGTAGCTGTGGTGCATACTTGACTTTCACATTAAAATGTATTTTACTTTTTTCTTTTAAAGCTGTGTATTTACAAACTTTTCTGTGCTTATTCATTCCAATCAAGTTTTTACAAGCAGCCTCATATCCTTGGAGATGCAATATATTCTAGATAAAGGTTGCAAGTTGGCATCCAGTATCATCCAGTAGAAAATAAACATTCAATTCAGGAAAATAGGTGACTTGCTACATTAAAAAAACCCCACAATAATGCACATGTATGCATGCACACACCCCACCTCATACACCCCAAAAGCAAAAACTCACAACAAACAAACAAAACCACAACCAAAGAAGAAAGACCAACTTTGAAACAGTTGCCTCTCAAAATATTCAATTGACTGTTGTAGAAAGAGATATTTTGATGTGGGTCTTTTCTCAAACAGCAAGCTGTAAGATTTATAGAGTTGTGAACAGTGATCCACAAATATTTAGTGGCAAATGTAAACTTCAATGGATTTACCCACTATCAGCAGGACCACTGTCAACTTACAAAGGAATATACTTACTGGAGATGATGTAAAAACTACTCTGGTAAAAAAGTAAATATAGGATCTTATTTGTTTGAGTATGTCAAAGTATGAGTAGTAGAAGAAAAACACCTCAAAAAAATTAAGAACCATAGAAGTTTCTGAGTTCATTCTAATTTTGCTAATGACAGGGAGAGAGATGAATTTGATGATGGTAGAGCCAAAGCAAGTGGGTACTTTTAACTCTTCCTACAGTTTTAATATAAGAGTTCAAAATTCCATAGCCTGTCCCTGCCTTGGTAAAAGAATGAAATTATGTGTAGGACCTAAGAGTTCTTGCAATAAATCACTCTGTAAATACAGTTTTATTGGTATTAATAATTGCAGAAATTTGACATCCATTTTTGGACCTTTTTAAGTACAATGCAATATAAAAGGAAAATGGTGATAGCATATACTCTTAGGGGTTTAAGAGCCATGCTGGTTATCTAAGGTTATTATTCTGAAAATGTTTGAGACACTTTCCTATATCTTCAGTTCTTAGTCAACTACTTTATGAAGGCGGATTATATACAAATTTTAGACACGAAGAGATCATTTTCATAGGAAATCCCATCTCCTCCATATTATAGCCACTTTAGCTAGAATTTATGCAAACATGCTTACATTCTGAATAAGAAAAACTAATGGGAAAGAATTTCTGATGTAGGGGAAAGTCTGCTGAGAAATATTGGACATTATTGTTGCAAGAGCAGAGGAAGATAAAATAGACAGATGGAGAGGGAAACTTGCGAAAATACCTCTTTCATGCTTTACCTTTGTCCTGTGGCTGTCCTGCCTCTACAGACTCCGAACAAAGACCACTTCATTTTCTGCATACATTTCTGTCTTTATCTATTTACCTTTATCTTTTCTGTTATAAAGATGAGTACAGCAAGACCATCATCAGTAAAGAGAGAAGTCCAGGAGGGAACAGGCTTTGCATAACACTGTTAAGTGAAGAAGCTTTTAAAAGTAATGGAAACCCTTTAAACTGACTTCTTCATTCCTTAGCTGTTTAAATGTAGGGCTGGAGAAAACTTCAGCAGATCCCTAGTCAAATCACTTACATAGAGGCCAGCTGAAGTAAACTCAGCCATCCCTTATAGCTGTTCATCCAACTTCATCAAAGTCCTGGTGAAAGAGAAAGGAGTTGGCTTTTTTTGGTAGCCAAGCAATTCTTTCCCTGAAGAGTAAGAAAATTCTTCTGAACATTCCCTAATATCTTAGTCAGTTATGTTGATTTTCTTTTGTCCTTTGTTGGATTTGGAGAACCAAGTATTCATCAATATCTCTGGAAACCAACATAGGTGATGTGGAAAGTCATGACTGAGTGCTCTCACAAAACAAAGAAACATTGACATCTGGAATAATATCCTCAGCAATAATATTTGGATAAAAAGATATATCTGAAATGTTCAACATTTTGCCCTTAGTTTTTTTTCTACTAGATAGACAAGCCTAACTAATTCAGTCTTTTGTCATAGATCATTTTACTCAGCCCTTATCAGGCTTCTCAATTCACTGTGCACTTCAGTCTGTTTGCATGTCAGACTTTCTGTAGTCAGGATTGTCAGAGGTCTCATCAAAACAAGCTGAATTTAAAAAGAACAAAAATCTATATAAATACACAAATGTACATAACATCTCTATGTGCCTCCTTTACTTTAGAATCTTTTTGTCTGCTAGGATGTGCCAGATTGTTTGCTACTTTTTTTCTTTAAAGGAAGAACAGAGTGTAATTTATTTTTAATTATTTTTTAATGCCACTATATTTCTCTTTGTGAAGAAAACCTTGTCCGCATTTTTATGATATTTTGACTTGTTTATGTAGAACTACTTCCCTTATTTATCAGAGACAATTTGAATTCTTTACCTGGTATCTGTAATGCCTCCTCTTATTTCTAAGTCTATTCTCTTTCCCGCCAATCTTTTAAAAAATAAACCCTCATGATACCACCACCAAAAAAATAATCACCTGGCAAATCTGAATGAGACTTGAAATGTTTTCCTATCTGACAGCAAACCTTTTTTTCATTACTGATTAATTCATTGTCTGTCAGCATTACCAGTGGTAACTGCAGATTTGAAGGGAAGTTGTGGCACACTAAATTGTTGCTGTTTTACAAAGTGTCCTTCTTTGAAGGAGCACAAACCAAAGGCATGTTTTGGAGTATGCCACTGCAATAATAATGAAGACAGTTGAGAACAGCAACTAAATATGGCACGCCAAATACTGTGTTCAGATTTTTGCTTTTTCCAGTATCTGTTCTGTCTTGCACAATAAGCACAGAGGGAAGAGGGAAAAACTCTAGTTTTGCCTTTTCCCCACTTGCTGCTGCCTGCATTAGGACAATCTTATGAAATTGATTTCTTCCCCTGTTTCAGGGGGGAACTGCTTCAGGTTCACTGTGTGCTACTTGCCTGCGCAAGACCTGCTGTGGAGTTCAATGTCCAAGTTTCCAAGCACATGAATCCCAGCATTGCCTTAGCTTCTTTCCCACTTCTAGGAATCCCCTGATTTCAGATCCAAAATGTGACTCCAGACTGACTAGCTAGGGACATTGTTACTTGCTTCATTCTTTTTTTTCTAGGAAAGCAAGTAAGTCACTAACAATCAATGAACCCCTAAAAGGAAATATTACATATTCCATCTCCGGATGAACTCATCTTTCTGAAGTGAGTGAGTGCTTCCTTACTTCCCTTTTACCAGTAAGAAGTCTGAAAGCCAAACAGAGGAAACAAAAAAAATCTACACTAATTAAAAAAAAAAAAAAGCCTCCAAAACCAGCCAAAAACCAAACCAACAAAATCAAATACTTTTGTTTCTTCCAAGCCAGATTCAATTATAGTATGCCTTCTCAGCCATTCATCCTCATCTAGCAACCAGCCCTTGCCCTCAGACTCTAAAATTGGTTTAGGGATTAAAGTTCCCAGAGAGCAGCAAACCGAGGAGGTTGCTCACCGCCTGCGGCTGGAGGGCAGCTCCGGGAAGGGCACTCCCGGAGCAGGGATCTGTGCGGGAGGGCGCCGTCCCTTGGGTGCCAGACCCTACCCAGCTTCACCCTCTTCCCGCCGGGAACAGGGCTGCTTTAGGGACCCGAGTCTTCAAAACAAGGCAGAAACAAGGCTTTACTCACCTGTCAGCATCCAGTAGGAGGCAGCCATGCCTGGGCTCCTGCGAGCCGGGGGCCGGGAGCCCGGGCGGAGGGCAGGGGTGGCGGGAGCGGTCCTGCCGCCGGCGCGCCCGGCTGAGCTGCGCTGCGCTGCCGGTGGAGCTCAGCGCTCTGCACCGCCCGTCCGCCTCGCAGCCGAGTTAGGCATTTCCTGTTTGTTATCCAGTCTTTACGTTGCTTCTTCGCGTTTAAGAAGAGTTTAGCTTCCTCCCACCGCACACAGTTTCCCCCCCACCCACCCCCTAAAGGTCTCTGAGTTTTGGAAACCTCCCCGTTGAATTAGCCCAGCGTTAGGATGTACAAATAAAGCCAAATCTCCCCCACTAAACACTCTCGGAGAGCGCAGCAGACCTTAAAGGGACATCTCCCCGTTCATAATTAATAAGTGTCTGCCGCCGGCCAGCCCCTGTCCCAGTAGGGCAGGAGTGAGCTGGGTGTGCTACACAGCCACCTCTTTCGCCTTAAGAACAGAAGAAACACGTCGTTGAGGTAGGGGGGTGTGTTTGACTGCTCGAGTTGAATTTCTCTGACATCACCCCTTAAAAACGCACTCTTACGGCCGGTCATTTGCCCGCAAGAGGAAGCCAGCCACCCCCTCCCCATTCTCGGCAGCTCTGCAGACACAGTAACTCTTCAGACAGTGGGCGATTCTCTCGAGTCTTTGCGTCCTCCTGTGCTTTGCTGCATAAATACCAGACAGCTGCCTTTGCCCTCCTCTATCGAACGTTTGCATGGCATGCCTTCCCACTCTCCCTGCCCCCAAAACGACTTCGCTAGTAAATAAATGAATAAATAGCAAAGGTAATAATCAGCCAGATTCAGGCCCTTGAGCGGAGATTTTCAGAGTTTGTTGCACACTCAGGAGAGCAGTGGTTTTGCAGGACTTTTTGAGTTTACCAGACTGATGCTCAAGTGGAGTAGCACACCTTCAGCAGTGTATGAGATTCCACACTGTACCTGGTGAAAAATAATTTTATTGTTTATAAAACAAGGGAATCATAGTGTCTCAAGAAAGAAAAAGAAAAGCCAAATTATAAGGATTTGGAAATTGTTGTGCTTCTATTTGGTAAGTGGAAGTGAGTGGAATTTTGGCAAGTTCCTTTGAGACTAATAAACTGCAGCTTTTAATAAGCACTGTAATAGCTTATTGCGTCTTCCAACTTCTGTCTTAATTTCATGAAAACACTTAGGGTGCACCTTGTAGATCTGTTGAAATTTTAAAAAACTGCACAATTTTAAAGCTGGTTTAAAGAGCAAAGATACTCAGTGGGACTACTCAAAGCTGATGAAATTAAGTACATGTGTAACTTCTGCTGAATGAGAATTTTAGCTTGGTTGGTGCCAGTTTAAAAGACAAGACACATTTTTTCCAGTCAAAGGTTTTATGCATAAAATTAAAGGAAATGGAAATGGCATCCAACCTAAAAGAAGACTGAGTTTATGGAAAAACTGTCATTTCATTTTCGCCAGCTAGTTTTGTTACTACTACTGTTATTCCAAAACTGAGTTTGTAACCCAGTGTGCTGGAGCCAACAGCACACAGAGTTGATGTTGTGGTTTATTACAGTTATAAGTCTGGGTGCTGGGTCATAATCCACAGAAGTCAGCATCCTCTGGGTTATAAAGCTGGGTTTTTTTAATACCCTTTTTAGTGATATATTCCATCTATCAAATACAGATGGACTGCTGTATTTTCTTTAAAAATATCTAAAGCAAACAACCAGACCAAAGAACCAAACCTTTGTATTCCCTGTGTCACTATACCTCAGCTAAATGAAGGAATTGAGCTTTCCTTAAAATCATAGTGAAGGATTACTTATTTATTTATTTGTTTATTCTGATTACATCAGAGGAAGAAGCGGGGAAGCTAAGGACTTTCTCTTGGACTGAAATAAATTCAAGCCTATATGAAATTTATTAAGCATTTGGTAAATATGTGGAGACTGTATATCATGTTGGAGAATAGCACTTCTTGAGAATAAAAAGAAACATTTTTGATTAAGAAATATTCTTAATATTTACCAAATTATTCTTAATATTATGATTCATTAATTTGTTTTGGAGGTGGGGTCCTATATGTCTTGCATAGGCAATGCCAAAAGGAAAACATTAGAGAAGATGAATTGCTGGACTGAGCTAGCATTTCTTACTTATTTGAACACATTCAAGAAAATAAAATGCACTACAGACTTACAGACACCTATCTTTTTTGGTGTCTCAAACTAGAAAAAACAGCAAGCCCTCCTTTTCACAGTTCCTGTTGCTGTTTGTGCAGTAGTTCAAGCAATGTTAATAAGATGTTTCTAAATTCTCGAAGTTCAAAATTTCATACCTTAGTAGTAAGGAGCAAATCTATTTTAAGCAGGAATCTCTAAATGAAGCTCTCTGAGGCCCAGAAGTAGATAAGATACTAGGCAATTTTAATGCGAGAAAAACAAGTATTATTAGTTTCAGTGGATTATAATAGTATACAAAATCATTACCCATAGTTATGGATAAAAGAAAAAGGTCACTTTAGTTTAAAGAATATAGTTGGCTTGCATAATTTATGTCTTTCTGAAGAATGTCACTGAATGCTGAGGAAGGATTTTTTTCTTAGTGCTATAAATTAAACATAATTTGTAACTTTGAACTGTGCCTCCTAACTCAGTTTCAGCAACTTGTTTTAGAATATGAGATACAGAATAAGTACACCAGTAGTTCCATAGAATCTGATGAAGTATTTGTGATTAAAGATTAGTTTAAAGACTTTGAAAAGCTAGACTTTGAAAAGGCAGCAAAAATTAAAAATATCAGAAAGACACAATTATTCTCCCCTCTAGGAGGTGTTATTCCTGCAAAAAAACCCCAACCAGTGGAAATACTTTTTGTCTCAAAGGTCAGGGAAGAAAGAGGAACCAAAGTTTTTAAAGTACTTTAAAGGCAGGCAGTCTTACATAAAGGGACTGTAATTTACATAGAACTAATTTTTCATGGAATTTTTTCTTTCTCTCTTAAAGAAGGTATGAGCAACTTTAAATACATAAATTTTAATTTTACTTTTTGGGTGAGAAGGATCTCTAATCTGTAACACAAGAGAGGAATGCATAATGCAAGATTTACTTCAGATAGCCAGAAGCATGTCTAATTTTTTCTATTAAAGGTATAGTATGACAGCATTGATATTGCAAGAAAGATGTTACATGATTCTGCAGTGTTCACTGTTGTTATTACACTTCACTATGCACTGCATGGAAAATACTACAGAATGTGTTCATATAGCTTCTAAGTGACTATTTATCATTGACATAACATTTTATAATCTTGGATAGTTTACATTGCACTCTGGATTAGTGGTAATTTACATTTATGTTTTTTTCTTGTACTTGCTTATTCACAGTCTCCAACATGTCTTTCACCTTGATGACTTTGTTGTTTATTTTCATAATCTTCATTTTTTCCTATCTGATTCTAGGACCATACTAGAATTCACTTGGCATAACTTGTGGGTCTGTAGTCTGATTTTTATTATGTCTGAAATACTCAAGGGCTTCTTCTTCAAGTACCAGAACTAAGACCTTGCAGGATTTGGTATGGTTCCAGAAGTACGCTATGCATAAATCTTTTCATGTTTTACAGCTCAGCTTTTAACTGATACTTGATATTCTTGGAGAATGCCCATGCTTCAGCTCCATCTGTATTAACCAGTGGTACAAATGTGCCAAAAATCCTTTTTGCTATACAATAGGATCTTTGTAAAATTTTTGTTTTGCAGATTGTGTTAGTTTAAATAATGTTGGTAGGAAATGTTATGGAAAATACCCTTTGTGTTCTGTGTTAAATCTATTCCCTACAATTTCTTCTTGTTCTTTTTTGGATTGTGTATCAAATGTCATAATGTAATTGTGAACCAACTTAATATGCAGCCTGTGATCTTACTGAAATTTTTGATTTTCCTCCTTAACAGTTCTCAAGTGTCTCACATCCTCAGCTGTGCTACTTTTCTTTATGCATTTTCTCTAGGTGCAAATTTTTAAATATTCATTCTAAATTTGTAGAGCTCAAAATTAGATGTAACACAAAAATACAGGAAGACCAGAAAAAGACGAGTTTGTACAGCACCATTTACTCCTATACATCTTCCACCAATCTCTTTAATTTTTGATTGTTGCTTTATCATCATGTAGAAGGATTTTAATATTAAAACAGACTTTAAGATCATTGCAGATTATATGCCTATGCTTTTCATAATTCCTGATGCTATTTCTATTTCCTTTGAGTCAGTTTCTCACTAATTTAGTCCTGATTTTTCCTGCAAGAGGGAGATTTCCTGCTTGCTTATTTACTTACCTATGTACCTGTTTGTAAGTTATCTTTGAGCTCTATAGTACACTACCAAACTTTAACATGAATATATAGTTCTTCAAACTATACACTACAGAACACAGTCTATTCCATGTGAATGAGGTACTTACTTCTCTGGCCTGTCAAATTTTTTTTGTGTTGGAGCACTGTTTCTGCAGCACTGGAGTCACTGCAGCTATGGCATTGAGTCTGAGGGGAATTGAACTGGTAATTTCAAGTGTGGGGGTTTGAAAACCAGAAATTAATATTGTGTCGCACAAAATCAAGGACCTAGAAATTGCAATGGGTTTATAGGATTTTTCACTAAAGGTAGGTATAATAATTCAGACAGTGTTGTTCCATCAGTACATTAATTCTACTGCAGTATAGAAAGAAGATTTGCAATGAGGCCAGAATTTAGGTGTAGAGGGTTAATTATTTTCATTAATGCCTTGGGTTTTCTGCAGTTCTGCACACACATTTCTTTCTCTTTTTATTACTGCTTCTCAACAATTAAGGGTTTTGTTTTGTTTTTAACATGCTGCTTGTGGTATGTTGTACAACCAATATTACTTATTGTTCAGATAGATTTCATTTATGAAGCTGTATAAAAGAATAACTTACTCAGCGCATGCTGAGACGGGAGGCTAATTGATGTCACTAATTTCTCAAAATAATTACATAGTCTGCAGAATCTTACATTGTTTGCATTGCACTGTATTCATTACCTTCACAGCTGGCCTGCATAATATAATTACTTATTACTGTTTGGTTACAGAAAAAAGGTAGCTTTGATTATAATAACTCCGTGAAAAGTAATTATATTAATTTTTTTCTTTCCTAATAGATAGAAACATTGTCTCTCTCCTTTTTCCTTGATGCACTCATTCTTCTTCCATGTCTATTATATTGCTTTTAATGCAAAAGCAATATTTAAATATAGATCACTGCCCAAGCTTTTCTTTAATTTTCTTAATCACAAAGAAAAAAAATCTTGCTTTTCTTTGAAGGAACACAAACATGGTCAAGATGATAGCCTATGTTTTATGGCCTATATTAAAATAGCAAAATAAAACAACAAAAATCAACCAATAAACCAAAGTGCCCCAACAACCAACAAATAAAACAAAAGCACAAAAAAAGTCATAAGAAAACCCAGCAAAACC